TGCTTGTTTTGCAGATGAAATCTCAAGATAAAGTGTAACAATTTGATCTTTTTTAAATAATTCACCTATTCTATATAATCTTACTGTCTTCGTTCATTACACTTGAATAACAGTTCAAATCTGTATTTAGCTTTCAGTAAAACTCTGTATTTAATTCAGACATTAATTCTATCAGATAGATATTTTAGTGGTAAATCATTTAGTTTATCATTGTAATAAACGTTACAATATGTTAAAAAAAATAACAATTGTTGGATGATATCGCGAAGACGTGGTTGAGACTCAGAAACTGTACAGTATGATACAACTTTATGTGACCTAAATTTACCAAGTTCCATACGTACACAGTACAGTGTACATTGTACGTGTAAACCTCAGTTAGATCAAATAATAAATTTCTATGTACCTTCCAGTTTTGTATCGTTTGTATAAACTATGTAATTAATACTTCGTTTAACTATAACATCATTCTAATCACTTATTAGGAATCTGAATAATTTCAAAGTTTAAGTCATTGCTCTAAATGAGCGGGATGAATTCAGTGTATAATAAACATAGTGAAGGTATTATGCCTGAAAAAATGAACCATTATTTGCCTATGTTAAAATGATCAATATGTAATGATTTAATGAACTGGAATGTCTCTAAAATGAAATTGTGAGTTTCTTAATCCAAATAACCATACGTAAGGTAGAATGACATAAATGACATTATAATCATTATTGATGTTAAAAGTTCTGTTGGAAATTACATAATCCATAAGATAAATTTAGCCTGAAATTGTAGCAATGAAATTACTCGTAAATAGATTCACTAAAATTATACGAATAAAGATTAAAAATTAATATAAAAATATTAAAAGAAAGGAGACACACAGTACTGGGTTACATTTGGGTTGATTTAATTTTTAACTGACCAAACTCTAGGCTAGCCAAAATGATAAAATATCAGGGATCCGTGGTCTCTAGATGTGGAATTCAAGTTTTATCTCAAACGCCCATTATTTAAGCTATTTTAGGAATTCTAAGTTTCGTTACCTTTGACAGCTCGTTTTATAATTATTAACCATAGAAACACGGTAATTAATGTTTGGTCATAGGACCGTTTAACCACATATATTGAAGTAGAACTCTTTACACCCTTAGCTGTTTATCTGATTAACAATTTTACAAATCATTCATACGTAAAAATGAGTTCCTAGAACATCAGACAACCTCTTTTACTCAGGAAGGGTAAATATAAATCTAGTTGCCTGATTAGATGACTCAGTAATAGTTTGAATGTCATCACTAAATGCTCAGCTGACTTTAGTTGTGACTTTTAGAGTCAGAGGTTATTTGGACCTCTCTGTACAATCCGAGGGTATCACCATTAAATTCTAACAGGGTATTCAGCTCTGTTTTGTCGATGGCATCCTTAAGTTCTAATCTTATTTTGCTAGGATCTGTGTGGCTGACAACTTGCCGGTATTATACGAACTTTTCCACTGCTTGTTAACTTTTCGAGTACAAAATCATGATTAAATGGCTAAGTGCCTTTGTACCAGGGAAGTAGAAAACTAAGAAATTGAGTATTGTATCCTGCCCAAGTATATTTCTTATTTAGGTTGCTTCTTGCTTATTCCTGTATAAGTAAGCGCTAATGCGATTGTCATGACGTACAATGAAAACTTTTTAATTAAACCACCCAATTGTGAGCATACAACACAGTCAGATATATCCGAAAAAAGCTATTGAAGTTAAAATTTACATCAAATATTCAGAATGTAATTTTTAAACAACTGATCTATACTTAGCATATTGGTGTATCATTTTAGATATTTGTGGAGTGTGTAAACAATTTTCTGTGCTGATTTTCAATAGCTCAATGAGTTTTATTCATGGGAGATAAAGTTAAATGATCCAGTGCAATGCCATAGACAAAAATAAAAAATGCCATGCCATCCAACAACCAAAATTTGGAATGATGAAAACGTACTTATGTGTGTCTTAAGATAACGTCCTTGTTTACAAACTTGTTGCACATATCAAACGACTTGTAGTGTAGAAGAATCTCTATTAAGTAATGTTTTGATAAGCTGACACGGACACTGTTGAGGTCAATATAGTCTCATAAAAAGAAAATATTTTCTGTGAGCATAATATATTTGAAAGTAGAGAGGTGACATCCAACGATCCATTAACCATTTAGGGATCGTCTAGTATGAGGAATTATTTAAATCTATTATCGAACGAAAAGGGAGATATTTTTACATGCGTTCGGGAGCCCATATAATTGGGGATAGACGAACCTGATGGTTTCAAACTTTCGAATTGGTCATCATCGATGAGTGACTCATTTTTAATCTTTTTCAGTATTGTAGTTAGCTTCAGCTTGATTTGTTCAGTGGCATCATTTTTTGTTAGTGCTTTTGAGAACTCTTTACCACCGCTAAGCATTGAGCACGATTTATCAGTAGAGTTTTTTCGGTTCATCAGAACAATACCAGCAATAATAAATCTTTATTCATTAGAGGTTCATTTAATCAAGATTTATACTCCCTTATTAGTAACCACTTGGTTGAGTTTTTCGAGTTGACTTAGTCATGATACAAAATTAATGATTGTTGATTTGAGTTGGTCAACATAATTGTTCAATACATGAGTTAAACCAAAGGTTTATTTAATAAGATTTTCGAACTGTGTTTTTGTGTGGAGATCATCACTTTTCATAGAAATTTCACAGAATTTCGGTTCGAGAGGCAGTGTTTGAAGTTTTATTGTGGATAAATGTGAACTAGAGTGGTTGAAAACGTATTGATAATTCTATTTTTACTACCTCATGTATTTTAATGCTTTCCCTTACCTAAAACTTATCCTTATTTCAACTGTGATGGCCCAAATAACCTAAATAGTTTCAGATCTCAAAGTTCCCAATGTCACATTCAAATTTACATATCTTTTTCTTGTTTCTAATATTTCCGTTTTTCCAGATCATAAAATCTGAACAATTGTTTATATTTTCATACAGATTTTTCTCTGTTCTACTTGTACCAAGATAATCTCTTTAAATATTTCTAAACATTAAAATGTACACATTAAGAATTATGGTGTTGTATGTTTGGTTTTCTCATTCTGAGTCACCATTTCGGTATTATTTAAATTTGCTAGTTACAATGATTATCAAGAATTGTATTCTACTTTTCCAGCAAACTGCTTTTTCTAGACAGAAATATATTTTTTCGTGGATATCCCATTGTTAGCTTCAAGAAGATAAAATTATTTTAGAAATTTCGATTATAAGCATGATATGAAAATCTCTAATGATCAAATATCTGTCGATATAGATAGGGCGTTTATAATTTAACACAAATAATTTTTCCAGTTCAAAAGATAACCTTTTCAATTTCATATTTACTGGTTAAAAGTAAAAAGCATGATTATCTGACAATAAACATTGAAGAAAACATTAAATGAAAGTAAATCAAGTATTAGACTCTAATTAAATACACAGAGGTTATTTTAGGATTCTTACAATGGATTATCATTTCCTTCAGGCATTTTAGTCTCAGGTTATATACGTAACCCGAAGTTAGTGCTAACAGAATGATCGTGAAATAACCAATAGCTACCTAGGCTTACAAAATTAAGTGTTACACACAATTTCATAGTCTCCGAAAAATCGGTTGCATGGATTTTTTACGAGAAAAATCAATTAGAATATGTTCAAAACATTAGTAAACTACTGCTTAGTTCTTGTTACACTATGTATTTAAATACACTTAAGTAGTGAGAATTGTACATTAAAGTTACATAGAATCAAGTATCTTTAGAGAGGACAAGTTTAACTGTTTATTGATTTAATATCAATATGGGTAAATTAAATTTTAGCTTTATCTACTGAATAATTCAAAGAAAAAGAGACTAGTCGATCAATAACACTCGTCAATTACGGTTAAAGGTCAAAGTATGTTTAATGAAATACATTAAATCACATGTATGCTTTACTTCAGTTTACGGTGCTAATGAATAATCGTTTCCTAGCAACGAACAAGCTGAACATATAGAAAATTAATATCATATTATTATGTAGTCGTAAGAATATACATTTATATATTCAGTTGAACAGCAAAGTTCCAAACGCCTTTCATTAGCTATGTGATGTGCTCTCATTTCACTGATCACTTTCACAGAGTTCGTTAAGATACTTTCGTTGATTGATGATTATTAATCTTAGTTAGTAGATGTTCCTTTATGAACATTACTTTCCTACTATGTGAGCACTCAGTGTAGAGGTGGCGTCAGTAGAATTATTATCCTAACGCCCATATGTTCATTTTTTTCTTCTAATTTTGAGTTGTGTCAGTATTAGATGTTCAAAATCTGATCTCTGTATTGTGGTTAACTTTTCAATCTGTGGTAAATACAGTTGTTCAAAATGATTATAAGAATTTCATTTTCAGTTGAATAAACGTTTTCTTTTCATTCCGAACAAAAAATTTATGTCTTGCTTTATACTACTGTTTGGATTATTAAAATTATTTATATAATTTGTAGAAAAATGATTGTTGATTAGGTATTCCTTCTGTTAATTATGGGTCACGAAAGGCACTAATACATCCTCACACTCCCATAATTATTTATTTTTAAAACTACTGACTCTAATACCTATCTTCTAATCAACAATTACATTCTAAACATTTTGGGTTTTTTTCGCATTTCTGTTTCAAGGCGGTTTTTTACAACAGGTTACTTACATTTCATTTTCTAAATAAACCATTCAATCAAGGAATATTCTCAGGAAAGTGACACAGTTTACAGCTTCAGCTTATCAAACAGTGTGAAAGAGTTGATCTGTACCTCTAGATTATGCAATAATGTCTTATTTAATTCACTGTTTACAGCAGTTTGTGGTTTATTTCTGTGATATTCATTCAATGACATTTAATTAATATTACATAACGTCAACTTCATAGAATCAGTTGTTTGTCTTCCAATCTTAGTAGCGAAAATGACCATTACACTATATTTATATTTGGTTTATTTTAATTTTGAAAATTAGAGATCAGCACACCGAACTCCAATAACTTCACACCAGGTAACAACATTAAAAGTATATACTAACCAAAGCAAAGAAAAAGAAAACAGTCAAATGTCAAAGTAAATATATTTTGTAAAGTGTTATCATATAACATTGACAGAGAAATATGTTAGCCGGCAAGAAGTTCATTAAGTAACTTACAATGACCTAAAAATTAAAAGCATGGGACATTTAAAGTTCACTGTGATGAATTAATTAAATGAAAATTTTGGATTTTTCGGTTTGACAGTTAAAAGAGAAATCAACAATTTTTACTTACGTAATTGATCAGAGTATCATGAAAAATAAGAACGAAATTGAACGTTTTACATTGGTTGCTATACTCATTTAGGCATATTGAAAAACGATATGTCTCACAATACGACTAGATCGTCTAATATAAGGACTATAATATCCATAAATCCAAATTGAGACAAGATTTCAGTTTTGTTGAAGACCTACGTTTGTCAAATAGATCAGAAGCCAAAGTATACTTCTATTCTATAATAGGCACGTAGCTATGTATAAAAAAATAGTGGTTGGCATTTTCAGTCACGGCTTGATAGCTGAATATAAATAGTAGAGTTACTTCATATTGAAAATTGATAGGTCATGTAATCACTTGCGTTTGACTGCTCATAATAATGAACAATAAAACTATTATATTTCATCATCCATTATTGTACAACATTTGTCTTTGAAGTAGTATAGTACGATTATGTGAAAATAATAATTTATGGACATCAAATGTCCTGAATGGAACAATGATACGAGAAACCCGATTTGTGTTAAATTTATTTAAAACAACTAGTCCCTTTTAAAAATTTTGATAGAACAGTGAGAAGATATAATTGATCTGATAAATGTGATGTATTCGCGCAACACATATTTCGAACAATCAGGTCACACATATTTACTTGTCAAGGCATTTTAAATGAAGATTAATAAAAGGTCAATTAAATCACCTTATGTCTATTTGAATTGTTATTTAACTGACCTTTTATTCATCTTCATATACAATGCCTTGACAAGTAAATATGTGTGACCTGATTGTTCGAAATATATGTTGCGCAAATACATCACATTTATCAGATCAATTATATCTCCTCACTGTTCTATCAAAATTTATTTCATTGTAGAATGAAAATGGATCCTTACATCTAAGTATCTACTTATATTTTTATTTATTATGCATTCAATTGCAATATTTTAATCCGTAATCATATAATTTTTTGATGAAACAACTTTGAAAAATATGTATATTGCGTCTTCTTCCTAAAACTTACATGTAACATTCAGCTAGTAGTAGACATTTTTAAAAAGTTTTAGAAAAGTGCAAATCTTCTGAAATAAAAAATGAAAATGCTATTGATTTAATCATTGAGTTTACTTAAAAATAAAAATAAAGATAAGCTAATAACAAGCTAATAAATTACAATGAAATCTATGATGAGTTTGGGAGAATGATCATCTAAAAAGTATCATGCTAAGTTAATCAATCATATAATATCCACGACTAAGATCAGTTTACAACAAAAATCTCTGACACAGTAAAATGTATTCTACTTGAAATTCAAGAGACTAAAAATTGTCAGTTATTTTGATTAGCTTTGGATTGATAAATTGGGAAAAGTTCATGCATCGAATAGTTAACAAACCGGCTTAGCAGTAACGTGGATTCCATTGTATTCTTAATGAACATATCTATCCGTAATAATATACTACTTTTCTGATGATCTTTAACATAATACGGATAGGATAAATGTTGTTTCTAATTCTCATAAAATGAATTTTATTTGTTTACAGTATAAAGTAACCAGCTCCTGCACATATCATATTTTTAACTAACATGATTATAAAATATACATTGCTTGCCATTTTAATCATTTGGTTCTTTTGATAAATGTTTCAATAGTGGCATGTGCGGTTAGACTGTCCGAGATGTGATGCAAAGCTGTATTATTCTTTGTCCTCTCACTGCAATATACAAATGTCAACTGTTTGCTTATTGTTGATTTTTCTGTTTTTTTGGTGAAAGAGCGTTGGTTATCCAAGAATTATAGTACAAGAAAAGTAAACTTATAGAATAATTGCTAAGTTCTACTCTATCACTCCGTATATATATATATATATATATATATATCATTATCTGTTCTTATAGCATTTAAACATATTAATTCCAATTAACATTCCATTTATTTCATATAAAAACTTTTTAACTTTGTAGTTAAACGTGACAGTTCACCACCAGTCAACTTTCCATAAAAAGCTTTAAGTTCTACCGTTGTTAACATTGATTATTTTTTAATGAATTTTAAGCCGTAGCATTATCTTTAATTTAAGCTTTAATATAATTGGAACGGCACTGGTTGTGAAAGGTATGTTTCTTTCTATGTAGGACTCAAATTCTTTACGTATAGCTTCAAATATCTATATACTACTTCACAATCTACTGGGTTCAATCTTCAATAAACATGTATAGCGGGTATGAAATGCGTAAAACTTTGAATTTACCTGCTGTTAATATTATGAACCAACTTTTGGTGAAATATATAAAAATCGAATGGGATCTTAAATTCAAAGTTTATGAGAAAAATATAGAAATAACTGGAAACTATGAAAACTACACTGACATATACTTCTGGTTGATTTGAAGATATCATTGTTAATTTTATTCAGAAAGATAATTTTACTAGGATTCTCATATCTATATGTATGTGAGGTTGTGTGTTTTTAAAATCCTATGTTTATGTCAGTTTTACAAGTGGATTATCATGAAAGAATATGAAGAATTCATTGAAGAAAATTATTTTATTCCCAAAAATTTACACTGTTCATAATGCTAACGACCTAAAAGATTTTGCTACAACAGTAATGCTATTGTATTTATACACAAATAAAGTTAAAAAAATTTAACATTGTTTTCAATAGAGAAATGATAAATTTTGTTTTAGTAAAATCGATGATGACACAAGTTTATGCCAAGCTTACTTACATAACAAAATTGGTCTGCTCTACGGTGGTTGAAATAAGTAATTGCTTGATCCAAATATTGTTGAAGAACTTTATTACACTAAGAATGCATTGAAAATTGAAAATTGTTTAAAAAAACGGCTAGATTTCATTGAGCTTCAAAGGATAATGAATAAAATTAATTAATTAACTGTTTAGTTGACTTCTGTTTATAGGCGTTCACATATATTTATCTATTAGAGCTAGTGTTTTTAGCGTACACTTAGTGTTGATGCGTAAATCAACCACTTATTTATTAATCACTTAGCACTCAGTACCATACACTCATACAGTCTCTAAAAGAAGTCTAATTTTTTGAATAAGGTCTGTTAGTGTGAATGAATACACGACAAATGTATAGTTGAAGTAGGTTTTGATCAATGAATTATTTAGTTATTATCATTGTACTATGATGCATCTGTATAGTCAGTATTCTAGGATTAATCATACATAATATGCATAAAAGGATTTGATTTTAACTGTGAGGCATTAAGAAGCACAAAAATGTTTGACTTTTATATATATATATATATATATATATATATATATATATATATATATATATAACCGCCTGTAGGCCCTCTGATGCTATTGCTGGTCCCAAGCTTGAATAAAGTAGCAGGGTTGATTGTCTGGTTTGCAACCGCATCCCATAAAAAAACTAACTCACTTAAAAACGCTAACTGGAAAAAACAATTCGAATCACTTCAACTCTGCTTAAGCAGTCAGAATGTCTTCACTCAGAAGAGTTATGACATCTCATGATGAAAGTCGAGTTCTTTTGTAGGTCACGAGGCTGATGCCCCTTCTCACAACCAGAGCAATAATTTTTCCATGTACGTCGAATGTTCGAAAATTGTAGGAGACTGGAAGACCATGTCAAGTTGCTGCAGAAATGAAAAGATACAACCTGGGGGTGCTTGGAATCAGTAAAACGCATTGGACACAGGTAGGACAACTGAGACTAGCTTCAGGAGAGATGCTGTTATACTCCAGCCATGAAGAAGAAAATACTCCACATACACAAGGAGTTGCACTGACGCTGTCCAAAAAGCACAAAAAGCATTGACTGAATGGGAATCTCATGGACCTAGGATCATCAAATCATCCTTCAAGACAAAGAAAGAGGGGAAAACAGTGGATGTCATCCAATGCTATGCGATGCACCTACCAACGACCACAGTGAGGACCTTAAATATCAATCCTACGGGAGGCTGCAGTCAATCGTCGACAGATGGTCATCAAAAGATTTGACGGTTCTGATGGGAGACCTAAATGCCAAGGTTGGCATGGACAACACTCGATATAGAGACATCATGTGAAGACGTTAACTGGGAGAAAGGAACGAAAACGGTGAGAGATTTGCAAACCTATGTCTCCAACAAATTGGTCATCAGCAGCACAATATTCACACACAATCGCACACACATCTCTACATGGATTTCACCGGATAACACTTCACAGTACCGAATCGATCATATCTGTATCAATAAAAAGTTCAGAAGGACCACGGAGGATGTGAGAACCAAGAGAGGAGCTGATATAGCAACAGATCACCACTTGGTAGTGGCCAAAATGAAACTAAAACCCAATAACCACTGGATAACTGGTTGAACACCATTACGAACACATAATTAACAGCCTGGATTTCATAAGGATCGATCGCGTACCGACTAAATTGCAACATTACGGATCATTGTGAAACAATCGGTTGAATGGAATTCACCACTCTACATCAACCAAATCCCTCTTGATGGATATGCCATAGATGACGTTAAAAGCTTTACATATTTAGACAGCACCAAAATCAAAATTTTCAATACAAACGTCAAGACAGTTCTATTGTATATGGCAGAAACTTGGAAAACTTGGAAATTCAATTGTTCATGAAAATTACTGCGAATGTTTAACGAAACAACCGGATGAACTGAATACAACGATCAATATTCAAAGGTACTTGGTAAAACAGTGAATGAAATGGACTATGTAGTTTAGGGATTGATAACAGTGGAGTTGACAAAATGTTAAATGAAATAAATATTTATCATCCTATTTACTCTATTTCAATGTAGACCAAAGATAAAACACTAACTCAAAAGAATTATTCATTCACTTTTTATCAATTAAATATATGAATGGAAATTTTCAATGACCATTTAACTCAAAAAAGACAAAAAATTAAAAAACTTACTTGTCGTTCATCTGCTGCAAATAGTACACAAATCATTTTCATCGAAGATTTCATTGCTTTAATTTGGTCTTTTTCAGTAAAAATACTTTGCATTCCTAAATAACCCATTTTACATGCTTCACAAAATAAACTATCTTCAAAATCTAAAATATAAATCATTTCAGAGTTAATTTTTAAATGCAACATTTAAATAAAATGCATGCAATTTAGTGAGAGTGAAAAAGATGAAGTCAATGACGATGATGCAAAAGTGTATAGTATAAACGCATTTTTTGATTTATTTCAATAGGAACAATATAGTATTGACAGAATGAACAACACAAGGTTAGATTTATACTTGAATGGCATATTAATAATTTAAAAATAGATTGTATGAATATTATTCTGATGGTTATTTCACTATTTCAAGTCAAACAAAATTATCAAACATCTATTAGAAGTGATGTAGTAGTGACATTTAGCAGCAGAATGATTCTTATTCGGAGGAGGACGAATTTTTTTGCAAAAGCTTGGAAAAATAAAATTCACAATCTTCATTAGAGATCCTTTTACTTGAATTGTCGATGACATACCAAATGAGTGGTTTAAGATTTCATAATACTAACGGATTATTTTAATTATTTTATCGATATCAGCAAAATTCCCTGATCATTTGTATTAAAGTTTATCATTTAGGTGTCTAAATAATACACTCCTTTTATAACTGACTTGATGTGTGTGATTTAAACAACTTCTGTTGAGAGGATTATGAATAAAGATTAATTCTTATGCCATCTATACTATACTATAGTTTTTGAAAGGTTATCCACTGTAGATTACAAAACTGCAGTATTTGAAAAAAGATGTAAACGTAGTATAATTTTATAGAATGATATATACGGATATTAAAAATGAACTATTGAGTTTCATCAGCCACTTGCATTATAACAAATTTGAAACGATATTAACCATAAAGTTTTTTTATTTGCCAGAATAATATTGAGAATATTACTGAGAAGAAATATAAACTTTTCCCTTTATGGTAACTGTAAGGTGAACACATGAAATTATGTGAAAAAATTATAGAAGTAAATTGTTTAGTTATTTAAAAATTAAATAGTTTACAAGTTTTTTACTCTTCATTTCAATTCGAAAAATGGTAAGAAACATATAATTATTGACGATTTTCAGTAGACTGCTAGGTGAATAACTGGGATTAAATTTTCTGATTAAATGTAAGGCTAATTCAATGTAAAATGCTTAATTCACATTGCGATAGCATAATCTCAAATACTTCTGCTTACCGACTTTTCTAGAAAATAAGGAAATTGATTCATTTCCACAAGCTTTTAAAATCTGTTGAAAGAAAGAAAATATTCCAATATAAATACTTTTAAGTATCAAGTGTTAGAACATAAACGTTTATGACTGCAATTAAAATATACCTGATAACAGTAGGATTAAAATGTATGACGATAGTGTCTATAGTACTTGAATCGTTACTCAGTCGTATTGTATTGAGACAAATGGGTCTTCTCAGGAACAACAACATATAAATGCCAGTGTTTCATTTAGATTAAAATGAACAATTAAGATTGAAACATTGAAGTTGAGTTAACGGTACATATAATAGCTCAAATTGCATCACAGAATATAATTGAAAAACAATATTTTGAGTTAAAATTGATTATAACTTAGATATTCATTTAGTGTTTGGAAAAACAGTTTTTGCACTTAAGTTAATGTAACCTACTAAAAATTATCACTATAATTTCTCAGTGTAAACTCAATTATACATGAATTTCCCAACCTAACTGCAATAATACGACCCATTTATCCTTACAGTATTTAAATCATGAACTAGTCTTAAATCACTTATAAAATTTGAAAGAAACGTACTGTTGTTTTGTTCTGTTGTGAGACTCTTCAGTAGAGCTCATTCACCATATACTGATAGTGACTAGCTTCAATAGTCTGAGTCTTTGGTGCCATGTTGTAATCAGTATAGTTTAGCCGTATTGAGTATGAGACAGACCGTTGGCAATAAAAGATGGTTGTACAATATCGTGACTTGATTCAAGTTAGAAATCAATATTTTCGAATGTCTGCTCGGTAGTCTGGAGGTAAAGCGTTCGAAGGTAAGGTTGTAGACTCTGAATTCAACTCTTTGATACAAATTCATAGATGCAAGCTTGTTGTTAGCCTTATAACAGAATGAAATTGCCGTGCAGCAATTCCAGGTTTTCAGTGGTTCTCTAGTTAAGATCTGTATACTGTTTAAATACTATGGGAATTTTATGGTATCTCCACAAAATCCCATAATGAAAATAATTATTTCTTTGTCACCTTCATTAAAAATGCCCATGATATAATTTTACACAATCTTGTCATTCTAAACAATGAGTAGTTAGAAGTGTTTTATCTAAATGAACAGACTAGTGTCGCATCTTTTAGATGACTAATATTTATTCATAGAGTATTCAACAACTTACATTGCAAATGTATTCAGGCTTGACTGCATTAGCCATTGCATTCAAAGTTGTATTGAGATATTTATGCACATACAGCAGGCACTTGAAAGAATGAAAAAACAAAAACAGTAATCAACAACATACACAAATCAACTGAACTTTACTGAGTTCGTAAGCCTACTGTTTTCACTAAATTGTTACTGACATGTTTATTGTTAGTTGAACTATTTTTTCAGGTAAACGAAATAGATATTATCGAAAGTTGGTTGTAGAAAAAAAAAAGATGTTTTGAACAACACAATTGTTTTTTTTTTTATCAAACATTATATTATACCAAAAGTGATAAAATTCGAACAGAACAGAAGAATAAAATTACTTTTACATGATTTGAAAATTAACAATCAGCTGTCAACTCTCAAAGGTAGTTTTATGAGTTTGATGAAATGCTTTGTGTTTAAAAACTAGAAATAAATTTTTTAAAATTGTAGTTGGATTTCAATACTATGAGTATTCGATTAGCTTTAGTACATTTTTTGACAACGTGTTGGTTTTCGACTAATTGACATCATTTTATCCATCCGAATCTGAATTTCAATTGCTATTTGTTTACCTAATGTTGAGTAATCTACCAAAGTTTGAGTAAACTTTTCACCAGTCACTAAATACTTTTAAACATCTGAATATATATATGTAAATGCACATACTTGTGTCATTTAAAATTTTAAGCAATGTACAACCGCCTATAATCATTAAACTATTTAAAATAAAATAAAATTTTGATAAAATATCAGTAGAAACGAGACGTTTTCAAATGTTTATCTCATGAGGAAAACAGGAAATTTTTGAGTGTTCCAGTTTTTGATACTTACAGTGTTTCTGAAACCTTCTGATGGAATAGACTGACATATTTGCTCTGCTGCAGACATATAAGTCTCTACCCAGTATTTGTCCGAAATAATGTAATGAACCAAACTCATGCCTGCCATGCAAGTCTCACATTCTGCTGAAAATATAGAAGTATCACTCAAATAAATTAGATTTTTTGGTAAATAGACAATCATTGAGAAATCTGATTTACATTTATATTTAATTGTGTCTGTTAAAGCTGTTAATTTTGAACTTAACCTTGTTCTGAAGTTTAAAATCTGATTCGCTTACTTGTCCAAATTGTATTTACATATTACTCAGCATGAAAATAAAGAGTGTATTTACAGTTTTGATAAATCTGGTAGGAAAATAGCTTAGATTTACAATTTGCATAATATGAATCTACAAGCACAACAGGACCAACAAGGATATATTCTTGGTTAAATTAAGCTATCAAAGTTTTATGATTTGCTCAAAAGTACTAGTGAAGCAGTTAATATTGTCAATTGGTAAGTTCTGTAGCAAGAGTGCAGTCACATTTATATAATTTAAAGAGTTTTTTTCAAACTTCATTATCCAACATATAGTACTCTGCTAAAGATTTATTACTTCATACTCTGAGAGATGTGTTTCAGCAGGAAGTTTAAAGAAACTTTTGATGAGTACGAAGATTTTCTCACCAGCTGCTTCCGATTTATTTTCATAAAAATCATTTTTTAGAATTTGTTTAAACTCCATTCGTTCACTCATGTCATATCATTCAAACGAGTACCTTAATGTAGCTAAATACCGTTTGTTCATTGAATCCTTGTTGATCATTGAGTAAAATAATGTGCATTAGATTTTTCTGACTACTAAAGGAATCCTAAAAGTAGTTTATGGGCTGGATGCTTTCTTAGGAAGTTATTGTAATATCAAATACGACCGAAGGATCCTATTGTCTGTGTTTTATAGCTGATTGGAATTGTTTAAATTAGGCTATATTTGTTAAAAGGAGAGTTCAGTGATTGGTTTTTGTCAGTCAGTTTTAGTTACACTCAGTTTGTGAAACTGAAGTAATAAAAAAATGGTTTTGAATTCAAAATAAGAAAACATTTTTAATTTAAACGATGTTAAAAAGTGAATTGATGATAGAGATTTGTAGCACAGATGAATATTTTCATCATTGTTTATCAGTGATTCTTACTTGAAAAAGGTGATATTAATAAAATTGTTTATACTGATATTGAAAGTTTTTAATTAAATCATTCGTTCTAATTAGTATATCACTTTTCTCAAATCATATTCTTTATTGTTGTAATGTAAAGATGAAAGCAGCACATGAAAATACGATAAGTTACTTCTGCATTACATCTATATTCAGTAAAGGTTTTCAGTAACCGTCACTAGAAAAAGTCAGCAATGAGAAAAGTTCATTTTCAAACTAAACTTGTAAATTAAATGGATTGTATATGTATATTATTTTGACATTTACTTTGTTCATGCGTTTTTATAAAATATCCTGGAAATTACTGAATGCATAAAAATTAGGAATTTTATAACTGACAGTTCAATTCAGAAAGATGATTCTAGGCTAGTACATGCGAATTTCGCTTAAGGACATTATTTCGATTTTTCGCTATCAATAATGTCATAAAGTAATATTTAATAAGGTAGACATTTTTAATTATTCATTGAAAAATCAGTAATTCAGACTCGAATTTTCACAGGATGACATTAGAATTTAGACTGTTTACGTCGATTGCTATTGTTAAAAATATTTAGTAACCCCTGGTATTTTCAGTAGTTATTAATGCGATGTGAACGACTAAAATAAGAGAAATGAACTCGCCAAATTAAGTAACTTGAAAACTATTAACTAACATTACTCAGTGATTCTTCGTAGTAAAAATTCTCAAATCCGTATATCTCGAATGATCTATATTTAAACAATAACTCTTTTTGTTTATCGAAATGTATAAATCTAATCATCAGTAATACAACATACCTAAAGTTGAATTGTCGATATTTTCATTCACATTAAATAAACTCTGTAGAAAAAAATAGCGCAATACGAAGTAAACTATTGATATTTCAATAAGTAGTCATTTTATTTATTTAAATATTCATTAAATAATACGAACATGTTAATGTGTGTCCGTTTTTCTGCTAATAATAAAGTGTGTTAAGCTTGGTTATTAAGGCTAGCGAATTCGTTTAGCTGGAATGTTTGTTTTGTTGCAATTTACTGCTAATACATACGCTAACGTCATCAAGAGTTCTATGATTAAGATGAAATTGTTATTTGTCGTTTTTTTATTTGTGCTGGTTGACTAATCAGTGTATACAGTTGTAAAAATTCAGAAGATTAATACGCCGAGAATGTGACATAGTTCAAACTTAGTCGATTTAGTTAAGTTATCATAATCTGATTTATTTGTTTTTACCTTATAATACTTCAATTCTCAATTCAATTTATCTCTCTTGTATTTTTTCTCTCTTGAATTTTAATGCCGATATTATCGTCAATGCTTTGTTTCTCATCCGAAATCATGTTTAAATTGATATACTATAATCTTATAGTTGCATTGATCTATTCCGTTTTGATGCAGGCTAAGACAAACTATTTATCAATGTTTCATAAGTATTAGGCTAATAATCTAGTTATAATGTATATTATTCTGAGGAAATGTAAGTTTGAATGAAAATTGCAGATTGACAATACACAAAATAGTGGAATTTTGACTCGTTATTAACAATAGTCAAACGAACATCCGAGTCAGTCAATAAATGATTGTGTTTGTTACTATATAGAATAACATTTGTAAGGAATTATCATGATTCAGCTTCAACTTTTGAGTTGAAAGTTTTACATAGTAAAGTGTACATCTTATATTTACTTCTTGAAATTCATTACGCCAAGAAAATACGATTATTGCTACTATGTCATAATAAACTATGATCATATATGTTAACTAAAAAAAACTTACATTTTTGTTTGATTCAGATGAAGAAACTGTTGTTTGTACAACCAACAACAGAACAAAGAGAAAATGAATCATGATCGAATCAGTTCGGTTACTACTTTCAATATATGTGGTATGTAACAACACTTTAATCTAAATTGAATGTATTTTCTACTGATTTATATTTATTTTTGAAACTTTGAAATTTTTAGTGCTTTCAAGTGTTTAGATAAGTATTTGGATAAGATGTACAGATCAAAGTACACTTTAAAAAAAATATTATTCTTATTCTTATTATTATTATAGCTTAGAATTTATTCCTCTGTTATTAGAGTTAGTTCAATCTCTTTGAGTTGGAAATTTCAAATTTAATTTTTTGTATTCACTGTTAAACGTATTCAAAGTAAATAAAGAAGTCTGTAGTGATAAAATGAAGGAAAATCAAGACTGTTTGTTTCTTTGTGATAAATTGTTGTAGCCCTATTGTTCCTATGATTTTCATCTAGATTTCGTTAGTGAATAAGTTTTGTTGGAGAAAGACAGTCTAGATGGTGTTTCATAATATTGGATATTACATAGTAGCAACTGAAAATTGCAGTGAATGATGTAAACTGTAAAATTTTGAAGCAAAATGGAATATATCAAGTTGATTAAAACAGATTCATAGTGAAACTGCTTGCTTTCTAAACTAAATGCATATAATGTAAAATTATTCTTTTGGAAATATTCAACTATATGAAAAAAACACAATAATAAATGAATAAATTTTTCGTTGAAATTTGTTGAAATTGAAATGTTTTGATAAATATAAGTCTAAGATTGTTCTTTTGATGGTGTAGGGAAACTTTTGACATTAAAATCGACGTAAATAAGACAAATGAACAAAATTATTATAAAATCTGAAACTCAGTCTAATGTAAGTTCATTGGAGTTTAGATCAAAGTTAATAATAAGTTGGCATAAAAAGTAATAGCAACAGTGATATTTCAACAGAATAGTAAAATTTCAATGGTACACTAGCTTTTATAAATTCTAAGCATACACTAATAGTCTGTTGGAGAATAAAATGAAACTAAGTCAGTGTTTTAAGTTCGTTTACGTACCCTGTTCTCGATCTTTTCCTATTTAACATGCTTTTGTGTATAATCTTAATAACACTTATTTTATTTTTCAACAATTTCCAAGCTTATTGTGTGGCGCGTCTATTTGTTATTCCATATCCTAAAGTATTTGCCTAAATTATTCGTATTTATAGTACGGATTATCAAAATTACTTTCTGTCAACTCTTGTGACTGCTATTTGCAGTTTTGCAAATCACCTGAAGATTTGTTCAAACTCAATAATTTTCATATTTTTGTGTTCTTATCTACCATTTTCTGACGATAATTTGTTGCTGATACTAGACAAAGCTATCAGCAGTCATTTACACTCTCATGCATTGTAACTATTCATCATATTTTTTTCACAGTAAACTATTTCTTTCAGAATATGAAGACGCCTTAACTGCTTTAGAGCCCTCACAAGTAAAGGTTTGTACCAGGTTGATGTTTGTTCCTCAATAGAGGAACCATTCTCTAGAAAACTCGTTGTTTTTGAACATCGACTTCACACTAATCTGAATCATTTTGTTAGGCGCTCCGGTAGGTTTGACAGAGAAAAAGTGTTGGGCAATTTCAAGTATGAAATTTGGGTTGAACAATGATTTATCGGTTGATGAAAAATCTCAAGTCAAAATTATCGTTATAGTCAACTAAACAGAGATGAAAAAGTAGATCAAAAGCTTGATGTCATTGTTAACCATTCCTCCAGTTCATGTGTATTGTATACGGGAAATAACAACTAATTAGGCAATAGACATAGAAAACTAAAGAGGAACAGTAAGTTAAGTAAGTTATTTTTACAGATAAAGTTCAAGTATGAAGTGTTGGATCGTCAATTCTCTGTTTTATGCGCGATTCGGATTATTATTTTCTTTAGTGATTGAAATAGAAAGACCTATCAAATTGGGATAAGTAAAATTATTGACATATCAAATAAATGAACTAGTTTTTGATATGCACTTTCTCAGTGATGACAATGAGTAATAATGTTTGAAAATATTTTGACAAGTATTTGTCACATGTGTTTCGCCTGTTGTATAAACGCAGATACAAACTTATCTTACTGAAAAAAAATAGTTTTGATTTAAGCCATAAACAATGAGAGATGATTTGTTACTTTTTTTCACTTTTTATTATATACTACTGAAAAAACGTTAAAAAACATATAAACTGGTTTCTAAATAATTCTGCTTCAAACGATGACCAATAAATTATGAAGTGCGATTATCAGTGATTCAAATGACATGGTACATTTACTCCTGTATAAATTAGCGAACTTAGAATTTTTAAGTGATTGTCTAAGTTTTTCACTTTTGGATATTTAACAGTGCATACCACAAGTCCAACCTTTGATTCTAAATAATTTCAAAAATACTTATTTATACAATAAAGATTAAATAATATATATAATTAATAATCTTTACTCTGATTCAACAAAACACATTAATGATAAACAAGGATTATTGTGTTTAAAATATCACTGTCATGAACTTCATTTGGCTAATGTATAAAGTAGACTTTGATCAAATTAATTTCATCAAAATTATGTACACGATTATGGAAAAGAACAGAACATTATTTTACGATGTGGTTTTCTGGATGAATTAATAAATTTTTTTTTGATAATTACGATTTACTGTTTTTTAAAAATACTTCGCTTTGTTTTTTTAATTTTAAAATGTTATATTGACAACTCGAAACTTATTAATACAGATTTTATAATAATTCAAAAGAAAGTGTATAGAATTTTTAAGCATACTGATTTTCATTATATGTTGGGTATGTTAGATCCCCAAAACTTGCTTGATAAATATCTTTATTTTGGATTTATTTCATGGACCGACCAGCTGACCTTGAGATCACATTTCCCACCAGGAAAATCCTTGTCTGTGATTGTTCACTGTGTCATTTTACTGTGCTATTTTTGTGACTGTCCTAAGGACGTCTCTATGAAGTATAACTAAATGCAGTTTGAGTGCTTAGATTGGTTGTGTTTGCTGGCTAGGTGTTTGTAGAATACACTTTCTACGCTATATCAAGACTTCTTGCTGATAAACTTGGGACAATTGGATCACAGTAGCCTACCTGGACGCTGGTTCATTGTTTTGTTCTAGTTTATCGACCAAGGTGAACCTGTAATAGTTCTAAGCATACCTTCAGACGAGTATAACAGTATATGAGAGGGATTTTTTATTAAACTATCGTCTTGTCTATTTGAATACTTTCGGGAAACCATTTATCTTTCTTACGTAAACGATAAATATATCAGATTTTGATTGCAAACAACACTGAATATGTGAACTTCCACTCAAACAATACATATAAAATCGTCAAGTTATTGATAATTTGCAATGAGTTGAATTTGAAATGTTGGAATTAGACCATTTTTGGTTTCGACTTCGTAAGATAAAGACAGTATTATGAACTAGCCCTGGGAGTTGACACAAAAAATACAATGCACTGAATCATTACGATTCAGATATTATACTTATAGGAGGACTTTGAACTGTCGATATTTCATGATAATTGTGTATTATTGTGTAGTTCAAAACGCATATGAGAAATCTAGTCATTTTTGTATGATTTTAATTGTTTGTTAAAATGACTATAAAGATCAAAACGGTCTCTATGTAGGCTGTAAAACACCAGTTGAGCCATTCGAAGATAATACACTTTAACTATATCCACTAAATTTACATAAAAAAAAGCTGAGTATCTTTTTGTTTAGCTTTAGATTGAAAAAAAAGTTGAATGCAGTCATAGACAAATGATGTTTATTTGATGCAAAGTACAACTTAATAAGCAGTTACTGATAACAATGAAGTGACGGTTCAAAAAACGAGAAAATGCCTAGATTTTTTATTTAACTGTATAATAAGTAAATTCAAAATAAAAAGCAAACCATACGTGCACTTTGTAATTTCATTTTAACAAAAAAAAGATAAACAAAATTATACAGACAAGTACTGCAGAGCTTAGTTAACCTTTTATCTTATAATAAAAAATGATTGTTTTTTTCTAATGAGGTTGACTGTTAATTTAATGGTTTTTCAAAGCAGAGTAATCTTAACAACCAAAGGCAGAATTATGATCAAAGGGCTACATCAAATAGAAATTTTGAAGATACATTACTCTCGAACAAATTTCACAAAAGTTGCGTCTCAATGAAACTATGTTGTCTGTATATGTATACAGATATATATGTATATATATATATATATATAGATTAACTTAATCATTTTACTTGATCTGAGCAAAGCAGTGAAAATGTACAATCAACCCTTGCAATTCATTATCTTATTACTTTTGTGTACAATAACAAAACAAACTGAAATTTCATCTTTAACTAAGAAATTAGATGTAAGTTTATTTAAGATACATATTATTCAAGATTTCATTTATGTCATATTATTCTTTCATTTAATTACACGATGAATTTCAGCTAATAGTTGAAAATCAATGAATCTGTGTTCGATTCTACATAAGATTAGACCAATAAACTATATTACTACTCATTATTGATTATCAGATGGCCATGATCTCCGGATTAACATCAAATTACCAGTGAGTAGATGTTACGTGCCGAAAGCAATCGTTGATTTTGAACATTGAATATATAAGCAAACTCTTAAGAATTTGATATCTAAAGATTATATATTTATATATAGGGTTCTAGTCAAGAGAAAATTTTGAATTTTATTAAAGTGAATACTAATAAAAACTGATAATTAAATCATAAATTGTTATCAAGTACTATGGAAATAATAATGATTTTAAATAATAATGACACGAAAATAAGACATTCAATGAACACTTAGTTGTAATTAAGCTATCGAATAATAAATCCCTAGCAAGTATTACGTTTGTACTCTCCGGAATATGATACATATCACACTCTGCATACTATAATCATAATATAATTTGAATATTTATCTGTTAGAAAAAGAATAAATTCTAGTAAATTCAAACAATATGAAGATATTTTTCTAATTCAATAGTCAAGTAATCAAAATTATGTTATTCAAACTGTGTAACAACGTGTGATGAAATGAAGTGCTAGTAAATAAATAAATATATGAATAAAGATA